CCTCCGTCCCTCCCTCCGTCCCTCCCTCTCTACTCGTGATACAGGAAGCTCTCTCCCCTCTCTCACAGCAATATATTTTTATCCATTCTGCTATTCTTTGGCTTTGCCCTCCAGCTGATCTCACCGCAAAAGAATTCGACCGTTTGGTCGAAGCCGCGTGCACTTTGTCGCAAATTGAGTCAGAAAAGGGTTCTCAAAACAATAGTTCCCTTGTGCTTAAGCGATAGAAATTTAAACTACATCGCATAGAGCTAAGCCTATTTATAGCAATTGCTAACATTTCAGTTTTCATATCAAATAAATTAAGCTCCTTAATGGTTTCCAGTTCTGCAAATCAACAAAGTCGATCCAGTCCCCGTTGCGCGGCGGAAATTTATTGGCAAAAATGTCATGGAGCAAATAACCAAGTAAGAACCACCTGACTATAGGAATAAACACTATAAAAACCGTGTGATCATTGAAATCACGTGACGGTCGCCATTACTGTTAAGTACCCACGTGACAAAAAATCACGTCACTCGAAAACCGATGGTCCATACTCGAAAACCAGGTTGGGCTTGCTGTGACGTGGCAAATACTAAACCAATYGACCAATCACACTTACTCTTTGATTCCAGATTCTATGACGTCAATCACGTGAACACGTTTCAGTATTCTAGAAAGTTCCATCAAGGTCAAAAAGAGAAGGACAACGAGTTTAAGGTGAGCTTCATTTTGTATCAGCTGTAGAGATATAGGTCATGGATGTAACCCACATTTTTTCTTCTTCTTGATAATTCAGACGATGTGGCTAGAGAGAACGGTTCTCTACACCAGTTACAAGTTTCCTGGAATACTCTGCTGGTTTGAAGTCACTAATAGTGATATGGTCAGTATGGAACCTTTTGTCATGGATTCTGTTTTTTTAACTGATTCTTGGTTTATATTCAAGTGTATGCCAGTGTTCTACCCCTAGTGTGGGTTCCTGGCATTGTTTTTCCTAATGCGCTTTCGCCAATAACTTTACGATATTCAGGAGTAAACCTTAATGCGGATCGGGTATTCCACAGGGCTTTATATTGGGACCTCCAAGCATGTTTTTTCCGTTAAAGAATTTATAACCACGATCGTAAGGGTTTAGATAACAAAAATAGATCCTCTATTAGAGAGTTCCACAGAGCTTTAGATTAGGTCCTTTTTCACTTATTGGCTTGGTGATTTACAGGAACTGATCAGCCCCATCCAGTACGCCCTGGAGACTATGATATCAGTCAACAAAGAACTGAGAAGCGTGATTGGTCAACAAAAAGCTGACGTCAAACTCAATATTAATCCACTGAGCATGAAACTTCAAGGCATCGTGGAAGCTGCTGTGCAGGGTGGGACAGCGAACTATGAAAAGGTACCACTTGAGGGGAGGGTGCGGGACGAGGACGGAGAAGAAGAGGTGAACAATGGGCGGAAGGGAAGAAAGGGTGATTAGTCTAGAGGGATGAGGAGAGGAAGACGAGGCAGGATGAGAAGGATTGAAGGAGAAGAATAACGGGGATGATAGAAGAGGAGGTGAAGAGGGTGGCACGGTAGTGGTTTACCGCTCGCCTCTCACCACTGTGGTCCGGGTTCGAGCCCTGGCTCAGTCTGGATCATATGTGAGTTGAGTTTGTTTGATGTGTTGTTCTCTCCCTTGCCACGAGGGTTTTCTCCGGGATCTCCGGTTTCCTCCCTCCGTAAAAAAGCAATATGAAAGTTGAGTGTTGTTTGTTGTAAACATAGAATGTAGTGGTAGTGCATGTGGAGGGAACCTCACGGAAGAGCCCTGTATGGGGAGTGGTGGTCATAAAATAAAAGAATTAAAAAAAAAAAAAATCAACATGTGAGTTGAGAGTTGTGTGTTGTAAATATAGAATGTAGTGGTAGTGCGTGTTGAACGAGTCCACGAAAGAGCCCCGTACGGGGAGTGATGGTTGTAAAATAAAAGTTTTTTTAATTGTTACGCATGGTTGAACATTAACTAGTTTCTAGTCACTTACTTTATCGTTGCCNAGAGAGAGAGAGAGAAAGAGAGAATAGGAGAAGGTATCTAAAGGTATAAAAGGTGACTAAACTGTTTTTAATTTACTTTCTGCTTTAGGCATTCCTCATACCACAATACCTCCAACAGAATCCTGACCATCAGGGATATGTAGAACAACTGAAGGAGCTCCTAGTTGAACAGGTACTTAATGGATCCTGGAGATTTGGCGTCTCTCAGACCGAACTAACTAGTTATAGCCCATGTTTTTTACCAAATCTACGCGCTTTATCCATAATCTTACATTTAAAATCAGCAAACACTTGGTTCGTGGGCCAATATATCTAGTTCCGGCTTTTAGTCGAAGAAGAAAATAAATTAAAACTAATCCGTGGAAAAATTCACCAGATATTTTTTAGAAATAGCATATTTCGTCGTTATTTGTGGAAAATATTTCGCGTCGTTAAGAGGTAATAAAGAATACAGTCGAAGCTCTCCTTGCGAACCACTCCCGTAAGCGACCAGCTCTAGCTACGACCGCGATTTTGAAACCCCGTTTGCATGGGCGTACGAACTTTGTAATACGAAGCTCCCACAAGCGACCGCTCCCGTAAGCGACCGCGAACACTTTCTTAAATTACCAAGCGTGTTTTCCCTTTGTTTTTAAGCTCTCGAAAGCGACCACCAAAGAAGTTCCGGATTATTGTAGTTTACTCAACACTTTATTTAAGACAGTAATGTAAAGGATGTAAAGCTTTCGGCCTGTTTACTTTACTTTATTTAGTTAAGAGTTGTTCAATTGATTACGAACGTTCGCTGTTACAGTATTATATAATTTTCATAGTTGTCCTGCACTTTGCATTAAAATCTCCCGCAAGCGACCAGTGACTATTGTTCTAACGCGTAGTCGCTTATGAGAGCAGTTTCTCGTAAGCGACCAGCTCTACTTGCGACCACTTTATTTACCGAGGTCGTCGCTTACGAAAGCTTCGAGTGTACTTAAATTTTCGCTGTGATAAACAATGCATTGCGTGTCTAGATTCTTAATCTTCATACATTGCTTTAAAAAGCGTTTCCCGGCAGTCTTGACGTTGACTTTTTGTTCCAAAGATTGACATCCTCGAAGAAGGAATACAGCTGCATTCAACTCGTGTGTCAGATAATCTGAGACCGCTGCATGATTTGATTGAGAAGAAATACAAGGACCTCAAACAACACGCTGAGCAATGGAGAAATGTAAGTTTTATGAACTAGAATGTTTTATTATATAGTCAGGGTAGTACGCGCGCGCAAATTGGTCGAAAACAGTGCTTTATTAGTGAACAGAGCACATTACTGACGCCATCCGCGCGCCCGCGAAGCGCTGCTAGATCTTGTGGCAGTCTTTCTTTTTGCGTAAATAAATTCAGTATCAAAATAAAATTATACTTATTTATCTTACGATTGTGGCATTTATGTGGGCCGCGACGTTTTGACTGCTGCTGCTATTCTTCATCAGGCGGTGGTGTAGATTAAAAGGTGGTGTACTTATGTAATGTCAGTCTGGTTCCCTTGAGGATCGCGCTGGGGCTGGTGCTGGGGCTGGGGCTGGGATTGGGGCTGTGATAGGCTGTGTGTCTGGTGGGCGTGACGGAGTGCTTTATAACAACTTTATTCGCAAATACGAGATGACAAAAAAGGGTGTCATATGCTCACATGCGCGCAGGGGACATTCATACACATTCGTCAATTCCTTTCTTCCTGTCTTCCTTTTTTCCCAATTTCCATATTTTCCATTCAGAAAACTAAAGTATACGTACCAGTGAAGCGTTCAGCCCGTCCTCTTACCATTCAAAGAAAGTCCGACGAGAATAGAACATCTTTTGACAACTCTTTCAACGGGTATGTAGATAACGTCGAGGACGTTGATTTGCTAATTTCTCTCATTCCAAACAGTCCATGCATGCTTTGCGATGCCAATTCGAACCCAGTACCGCGCGTACCCTTTTCTTATTCGGTAAACTACAGACTTGTCAATTGAACAGGCTTATCCTCGTTTGGAAGCAAATCATTTGCAAACGTCAACCGTAATGTAAAGTACGTACAGCTTGAACAATAACAATGTTTTGAAACCCTACAGATYTGACCTTCGAAGGTATCTGTTAAAAGCTAACTTATAAATGAGGCTAAACCCGTGCAAATGAATCTGTGGTCTTCAAAAACAGCGGTATGCATCGAATGCGAAATTGTTTTCATAGGATGACAGCGATCTTATTATATTTATGTGTAGGATTCCAGAATCTCCACCACCTCCCATCCCCATCAAGAACACTCCTACTGTAGCAGCAGTTGATACCCCACCACCCAAGCCCCCTCGACCTTACTCCAAGAAACTAGAAGAAAAGCCACCGTTACTCCCAACAAAGAGCACTAGAAAAACATCAGAACAACGTTCTAGTGGGGGGTCGCGCAGCTCTGGAGAGACAGAACCACCCGAAATTAATCAGGTACAAGCATGATGCATCGGAAGTGTCGTATTGATTATGAAGTAATACTACATTGTTCTTATGACGTAATGAGAATAACGACGTGATGGAATTAAGTAGTGGATTGATTATGACGTGATAAATAGCGCTCGTGGTAATGACGTAATGACACGTGATTATTCCGTAACRGAATGACGTCACGGTATTAACAGAAGTTCTGTTATTAGTCCCCAGCCCTACCTCCTCGTAGACCAACACAGAAAGTCCGAAACAATGATCAAACACCTGTTGAACAAGCCCCGAGTATAGCCCCCAGGGTGCCTTCACCGCCCACTGCTGTTGACTCACCTCCAGTCCCTCCAAAAGGCAAACGCGGCGAGAGCACGAAAATGTAAGGAGCCTGGAACTCAAACAAAACCATTTTATTCTAAATGTTCTAAAAGCTAAATACATTAAAAAAATTCCTGTATTAATCACATTCTTTTAAGTTAACTAGTAAAATGTTAAAGATTAACAAGCTACACACGTGTGAAGGAAATAGAACGTTTGCATGATGGCGTCTTTGACCTCTACAATCAGACTCCCTTGCATACTCTCTTTTTGTTCAGTTAATTAGCACCAATTGTCTTACTATTCTCATGAGGGAATACCAATTCGAATAAGAAAGAAAATTTGCGAAGCATCTTGGTAATGGTAGTAAAATGACGCCATCATGCAAACGTCCTATTCTAGTCTTTTACATTCAAATCTTTGCTTTTATAACGTTTCTAGCAAGAATATCATATATATATTTTTAACATTTCTCATGAATAGATTTTTTATAAACACTTAGGTTTTATTTTACTACACATGACTGAAATACCGCTGACCACAAGAAGCGAAGGCTTTAAAATGAAACACACCATAGATGGACGAATCATTATTTACAGGAGAGAGAACGAGTGAAAAATCGGTCAAATTTTAATTCTTTTTTCGAGTCCTCTTTCATACTGATTTGCGGAGCTGAAAATTCTAGTACCCCTCTTAAACAAGAAATATTTAGTGGAAAACACCGAACCTCCACACATACTCTTGTCGGTGTCAAGAAACCCCCACCCCTCCCTCCAATAAATGATGAACGGTCCATGAATTTTAATATAACTAGAGCAATTGAATAGAGCTGCACAACTACTTTATTCTTAACACTAATAACTAATATTTTTTAATTATTATCACTCTTATTACGACATTCTTTGTTTTAAAAGAGAAATCGTCTGAATGTAACATTTTCATATCATCTATTATTTTAAAAATAATTCTAGTTTTATATATATTAATGATTAGAAATGTTAAATTAATAAAAATGTTTGGATATCTATTCGCAAATTTACCAGGAAAGGTTGTCTTGCAAAGCTGAAATTCTTAATATTATTCTAAGATATTCTGATTGTCTCACAGCAATCTCGTAACAAGAGCCCACGTTTCTTTAGGTCAGCAGCGAGAAACGAGTTTTTTCGTTACTAACCAAAAGGAACGTGGGCGCTGGGTACGAGATTGGTCTCAGGAAAAAAGGGCTCATTTTCAAACTGTGAAAGTGAAAACACATTTTATTTGGTCAATTTAAGATAACCTTTTCTGAATGTTCGCTGCATGAGACCATAAAAGTAACGAGCTTCATATTGATTGACACTGAAAAAGATGTATTTCATCATAGCACCATTTTATATTGAATGAAAGTATATTCTAAGACGTAGTTCTCCTTGTGCTTTTGTAGATGTAGAACCCTTATATATTGTGGGATTCCTGTGGAAATTTAACTCTCATCTAGTTCAGCGGCGTTTCCATTGAAAAACCATTTTTGGCGTTCCGGTCGCTACGTCAAAAAACACATTTTAAATAGTTATTCCTTTTGAATTCGATAATTTATTTCTTTGTTGATTATTTTCAGTCGGCGATAAATTTTTTATGCTCAAAATATTTTTATACAGATTTTATTCAGTAGAGATAAATTTTGTAAAATAATTCGACTTCCCACGTTTTTCGGAGAACATTTTTTGTTATTTTCTCTCGAAAAAAGATTCATAAAATCTTTAAAACCTCGAACGATGTAGACATGATTTACATCGTTATGTTTTGACTCGGAGTTTTATGTCTGATCTGAATTTTTTTTTTTTTTTCCGCAGTCTTGAAATATTCTTGTCATTTTAAAGTCAGTTATCATTACCAAAGAAATGTAATGTCATTTTTTTTTCAATTTTAAAATATTCGTGTCATTTCAAAAAGAGTTACTAATATCGATTGAAAGTAATGAAGCGGAGATTAAAATAACTTCGCATTTAAAAGTTTTGAAATTCAAGACATTTTTCAAACGTTGAATATATATCTGTGGCAAGATTTTTTATTTCAACAATGGGGTATATTGATATCATTCTCACTTGCGCTTTTTTTATTAATTCTTTATCTAGGATATGTGGTATATTATATGATTTTATTAGATTTTGATGTATTTTTTTGCTTTTATACTTTTGACTTTTTTCCTTTCATTGCCTCTTTTCCATTTCATTCATCCCTTCATTTCCTTTTCCTTTCGTTTCCCTTCTCTTTATTTTCTTTTCCTTTCCTCTCCTTGTTTCCTTTCCTTTCTTTTTCTGTCATTTTCTCCCTTCATGTCCTTTCCTCTTTATTCTATTCCATTTATTTCCTTTTCCCATCTAAACTTCGACCAAATGCACCAGAAATGCGTTCGCAAGATACGTGCCATGACTTGCTTGACACCACGTACTTTCTGCATGGTTAGTGAACGCGGAACCTTCAAGAAACTCCGTAAATTTGATATCTGACTCACTTCGAGAGAATTTCTACCTTTCATTATTTAACTCTAAATCAATATCATTCGTTATGACTGACATTTTGATTAATTATTCGATTTATATCACTTAACAATTTATAGGATAGACTTGTACCCATCCCTTGCGCTGTATTGTTTTTTGTTGTTTTTTKTTGTTKTTTTTTTTKTTTTTTTGCGCGCGGTATTGATGCAATACTTAGAGCAACGACGAGTAAAAACAGAGTTAGTTATTTTTATTGTCGGTTTATTGACTTAATAAGGACAATCYTCTATCTCTTTCTATTCGTTTCCTAGGGTCTAATCTATTTACGAGTCGTTAGCTAGTAATTTGAGGTATTGATACAAAGCAAGCTAAGTCAACCGTTCGAGAATAAGCCACAATTTATCGACCGAGAAAGCTCTTGACGTAATCAACAAGGTTTACTTTACAATCTGATCAATAGTGGATTTTTTTGGAGTACTTTTCGTTCGGATTCTATTTTACCTTGTGCAAAGACGCAAGCAACTGCGAGATGTTTTGGTATCACCATCGTGTTCTAAAACGGTGTTCAAAGTCTTGCCAATTTTGTTTTTCTAAACAATAACTTTTTGAATTAATGGCTGTTAATTTGGCACGGAATCACGTCTCTCAGATACTCTTCCTCGTCGACCTCAAGCAGTGTACCTCCCTCAAACCACTGTTGCATATCCTGCGCAAACAACACTAGTTCAACGGCTACCTAACGTCCTGAGAATGGACTTTTGAATCAATATTTACCAAGCCAAAGATACAAATATTTCAAACATTATCCTAGAAACTCTTAGAAATTTTAGTAGAGACAGGAACTTTGACATAGTGAAGGTCTAAATACTGGATTATTATTAGCAATGTCGAGATCAGACATGCATTGCATGTCATATTTATATCGGAGTTTGACACAAGACGGCGTATATAATTCTTCGACTATTTTCACAAGACTTAACGTTTGGAATGTCAAATAGTTCAGCGTTCTAAAACAATGTGCATTTTTAGGTGAAAAGAAATATTCTTCTTGATAAATAAATTGATAACGTCATGGAATTGTTTTTGGAAATAAGAAATCGTGCAGAAATAATGCAGTATCTGAATATTCATAGCGCTTGTCTGAACGAGTCGATGTTTGTTTTCTTTACAGTTTATCAACAAAAATTGTCACTTCAATAAAACGATGAACTTCCTAAGCAATCGCTTCCAACTTCTCGTTTTTGAAGCGCTGAAAATAAACGCTCCGGCCTGGGTTTCGGTGTTTTTCCCACGGTGTTATATTCGTGGCTTAGTAGATATTCATGTCATATTGTTCCTCCGTCACGACGTGTGAACGTTGCCTCTTTCTTCTCAAACAAGTTCTACAAATCATGAAAATAATTTTCAGGATAGCGAGAAGGCCAGAGACTCCTAGCAAGACGACATTGAAGATCGAGTTACGCTCATTTTTATCCCAGAACACTGCAAACGTACCGGTAAAAGCGACAAGCATTACAGGATACACGGTGAAAGTATAAATGGTGTAGTCGTGGAAAACGAAGTTGTCGAGCATAAACCAGAARAAGAGGACGGCCGAGAGACCAGCAAGGACGATGGTGGTCGCAATGTGGTCATCCATCTTGACGGAATAGCGGAAAACAATTCCGAGGTGAAGAAAAGCGGAGTACGTTGTCCACGAAGCGAACAGAGCCAGGCCGTTGATGAGGAAAAGTTGGATCGCCAAGTGATCTCCGTTCGGGAACCGCTTCGTCGTCTCGTAGAGATCTTTCGCTCGATAGAAGATGATTGCCAGCGAGATGTACATGCACAAGGACGCGCCTGCCATTAGTCCAAATGCCGCCTCGATAAACTCTCGGGCCCATAACAGCACCCATCCAGCGATCAATCCGAATCCAAGCGATACGATGATGAAGAAAGACATAGAGAAGACCCTTGGTGGATGCTTGCGGCAAGGAAGAATGAAAGAATAGAAGATCCATTGTAGTTGCCATCCAAATACGGCAACCCAAACCCACCAAGTCCACCAACAGGGTGTGATCTCAAGGCGAAACTTCTCGTACCCGTATAGAGGAACAGAGTGGTTGTAGAAATCCGTCATAGGGCTTTTATCGTTGTACTTTCCGAGATAAAAGAGTACAGCGGCCACTGAAAACACGATGAATGTCATCAGTGCTAGCAGCGCCATGCTACATCGGCCAGATAAAGCCATGGTCTTTCGATGTTCAAATGAGCGTCGAACTAGTTCAAAGTTAGTCACACTAATGCTTCACCAAACCGATTGAAGTCGAGATCTCGAAGGCTCCAACCCAAATGCAAGATTCTGTGGGCGTTCTAGCGTCAAAACAATAAACACGAGACTACATTTATGCTAATTTTATTTCAAAAGATTTGCCATCCAATAGGATTCAAGACGCCGTGCACTCATGTGACGTGGTATATTGTTCAATGATTCCAAAAGAGTTTTCGAGGTGCAGTTCGAGACAGGTGATTTTAGAGCAACAAAGTAAATACTCTGATAATTAATACATATTCTACGATCCTTCTTTTTACGGCTACATAGCGAAATAGTCAAGTATTATTATTTTTTCATTCGAGCTCGAGGAAATTAAACGACTCGCTCTAGGTCGTGAGGTTGGATGAATTAAACATTTTTTGGATCGTTTTTCATTTTAATTATTATTTGGGCAAGAATTTAGAAAATTTAGAATCCTTTGAGAGTGTTGAAGGAGTTCGAGAGGAAGACTTACTAGTTTTATTGAAGTCGGAGAACGACGACTGAATACTAGCGGTTTGAGAAGGTTTTCTCACTTTGCAAAGGCAAAGTTCAAGTCACAGCTGCACAACCCTTTTCTCGATCAATTATCGCTCAAAGCAAAAAGAGAGAGAATTCTGTGTTAATGAAAAACAACATTAACTCCACCAATATGAAAAATAAATATCTTTTGGTATGCAAAAGGCAAGAGGGAAAAATTAATGAAAAAACAACCGATTCTCATGAATTATTAAAGAGATAGAAGTGTTTTAAGTGATTCAGCTGGTTGACAGCGGCCAGTATAGCTTGACTTGACCTGAATATCATTTCCAAGTCAGAGTGATTTTAGTTGAATAAAATGGATATTTTTTGAGAGTACAGAGGTTMTTGGAAAAAAACAGCAGTTTCTCACCTGGGGCCCTCGTTTTTTTTGAAGTTGCAAACGCTAGTAGCTTTGAATATTCGTCGTTTTTGAAGTGCTTTAGTTCAGATCCGATCAATATTAAGCTCAAAAGACTTTCACCCTTCAGTTTTCACCCAGTATTTTACTAATTAGCGAAAATCCTCCTTTTCCAATACATCTTATCCTCCCCCTAATTATTCTGTTTGTTTCGTTAATATTTTTGTATGGTTGCTTCCAATCAACTTGTCGTAAATAGATTTTGCAGCATGCATCGCTGTCAATGCCCGTTCTTGCCAACGCCCCTGTCAAATCTGAACAGTTTCTCATTGAATAATTATGATTACGAAAATACTAAGGAAAGTGCAGAGAAACATGTTATTGTTAATTCATATCGTAGTGTGGTATCAAATGCGATTTTTGGTGAGGAACATCGCCGGAGAACTYGAAAAATTTTTCTCAAAATTCCGCCCGCTTTTCCAGCTTTCAAGGCAATTTTTTTTCCGGAAAAACGAGCGAGTTTCGCTGGGGACGAATTTAGGAAGAAAATTAATTTAACATAAATTTAAAAAATGCAAAGATAGTAGAGCAAGAATGCTTAAGATACTTATGAGGGCCCCTACCGAGAGAATGTTCGGTGGAATTTCATTTGATTGTCGAATGTAGGCGATCACAGGAGCGACAAGTGACCCAAAAACCGCAATAAATTGATGGATCATTTAAAGAAGATTTTAGCCAAGGTACTCGAATATAATCCGCCATTTTGCCCGATGGACAACACCTTTATTTGCCATCTTGTACATCTAACGACAACCTCGGGCTGTTTAAACCACATCGATGGACCATTGTGATGATAGTACTTTTATGAAAAGGAATCCATGTTTGAGCTCCAGCGTCTTGCAACCCGCGAAGCAATGGCTGCCAAAACGTCTTATCCTTCCCCCTCCCCCCATTGTCTTCAGCAGCTTCGAAAAAATCATTCCTTTCCTAAGTCCAAGTCGATTTATTCTCCCTTTTACTGCATTCGAAAATAGAACATTGTTACTTTTTAAAAATATCCCTAGTGATTCATGAAAAAAACTGGAGCCGAGATTTGATTATACACAGCGCATATCAGTCTAGGCACTTAGACCTCTTATTTAGTCTCCGCAATTCTGACATTTGACTCCCTACCCTCTCCCCCCGGCGAAAATAACAAAAACTTTCTGAAGAAATTCTAATCCTTAAAAACTAATTATTAATTTTTTAAGAAACATAATTCCAAGGCACAGTTTATTTCAACGACTTCAACTCGGTTTGTCGCGGTTGACCAGAATTTTAACGACTCGCTTGCGAGGAATTCTTCGGGTGTCACTGAAATTTTCCGAAAAAAATTAATATTAATGAAATGATTAAAAGTGTAGTTTAGATTTATTACATAAGCTATTTGAGTTATTGGAGATCAGTTTCTGATAAAAGTAATTTCCAAAGAATATCATAGTTCGAAAAGATTGCTTTTGAAAAACTTTGACAATCGCGATAATGTTTAGTTCTTGCGAAGGTAATATAAGGAAACTCAGCCATTCTCGATTCAAGCCAGGAAACAGCAAGTCAGTTGATGTACTCTTTGGCGACAGTTTGACTAACATGGGGGCATTTGAACCCAATAACTAAGCAAACGCTACACTACAGAATATTTTCAATACCAACCTAAAAAAAACCGTTTCAAAATTAGATTCAAAATAAACGGAGTAAAAAAATTCACCCTAAGAATAAAAAAATATAAAATATTCAGGAAGGTTTTTWATTTTACCGCAATATGTTTTTGTAGTGACTAAGAAATAAACATAAAAATATTCAAAAATGCATAATAATAATGAGTAAGGTTAATAATAAAGTAATGCTGATAAGATTCTTTTTAGAATGGACTCTGGGAAAACAACTCCCGATTTTTTTAAAATGACAGCGCCTTAAAAAGCTCATGCGAAATTTCCATAAAAATATATACAACATTTTGTCGCGTTTTGATTCAAAGAAAAGTAAAAAACCTAGTTGAGGATTATAGAAGCGAAATAGTTATTAGAATTAAATGCATTTGCTGCTTACTTTTCTATTCTATATTCCATTTTTCCTGGAAAAACATCGCTCAGTGTGACCTTTAATGAAAAAATAATTTACAGTCCCGAGGCAAAAATTTCAAGAGACATTTGTACTGCAAAACTCGATTTAAAAATACTTCAATTCAAAGGACAACATGAAAATTTGAATTCCACTTTAATTCATAATACGAAAACACCTATTTACATTCGACGACAAAGAGTTCAAGGGTGAAAAATTAGAAAGAAAAAAGATTTCTTTTAAAATATTTTTGAAGTGTTTATATTCTGAGATAATTTTGTTTCCACGAGAGTAGGGAATTTAGAATTTTTGGTTTCAAATATGGCCMGAGTATCATTATCTATAGAGATAAATGAATAATCAAAAAGTTGTACAGTTTACAATTATGCAAATGTCAAGTATGAAAGCTTTATTCAGGTTCACTATCAGATTGGAAGAGGTAAAGTCTTGACTGTCTCTACGCATTCTTCATAAGATTCTTTGATGTCTTGGTGTGGTTTTATCAACACAATACTTGTTGGTCTCTTTGTCATGCTGGATGCACCCAGATCCTATAGATAAATTAATAATATTTCAATATTATTTAAAAGAATACAAATGTTGTGCTCTGAAATATAAGATATCTTAATGACAAACTTACAGTACAAGTACATTTAAATAAATGGATCATTTAGATGATATATTGGTTTCATACTTGAGTGAACTAAAACCAATTTATATGATTAAACAAGGTGGAATGAAAGACCAGAGAAATGGAAGGTCAACCATGAGGTCTACCTCACAACTTACATTACTGTACACTACAGTATARACATAGAAACTACTATATATATATATCTGGTAATGAAATGAGCAAGTGTATGAAGTAGGTTTCTTAATTTTATCAACATCCACGAGGACCAAGAAAGAAAATTGTTTACWTATGAGAGAAGTCAGAGGCAGTCTRAYACAAATGTGTCTTATGCACAATGATGAGTGAGTAGAAAAAAGACTGTGTTCTTCAGAAAAGATGGTTCATGGTCACTTTTTGGCTTTTCCTTAAATTTACATCTAATCCATCATTCAAAAACTTATTAATAATTCATGAAGGAAACACAATAGAAATCATGACCATGAAGGGGATTTTATATCTGATATAGATTCATCTTCATTTGCAAAAACTTTAACTTGGATTTTCTCTATCAAACTTGGTTCATTTCGTAAAGAATTCAGTACATTATGAGAACATACATCATGAGTTTTTGAAGCTGTTCAATAAACTCGCAGATTGTGTTTTATCAGGTCTAGCRAGTTTATTAAACAGTGCGTAAAAATGACGGTAAACAATGTTTGAATTTGTACAATGCTGCTTTTTTCTTATTTAATGTTAGAATATTCACAAATGCCAAAAAAATATGGCAAAATGCACAGCTTCGAGAATACAAAAACTTTGAAATTCTATGGACCTTCACTGGAACACTTGAATATTCTACACAAAATCAAGGCTAAAACTGAGCAACAGAACACTTGAAACAGGAGTATAGCAAACAGACAGATACRGTTGGATTCAGGCTGTTAGATGAATGAAAGCTCAAGAATCTAAAAAGATAGTATATTGTTTAGAACCAAACTCCTCCCTCTACCTATCTAGACTTGTAACCATCCCTCGGTCTATCCAGATGTCATGGAGTCTGGTTTTTCACTGCTGTTTTGGGAGTAGGGGTACAGAAAGTGGGGATAGCCCCAGGGAAAGAAATACAGTCTACTCTATAGAGATTATGAGTGCCACAATGTCAAAAGCCCTGTAGGTACACCTTAGCAAAGCACTTTGGGATTACTATTTGCATAATCCATTCACTGATAATGATTACTGACACCAAAATGTTATAAAATATAGACCCAAAATAGATAATATGAATCAATTCTTTATATTCATGGAATTGTGAAAAAAAATGAATGTGATACCTATGTTATATTTAAATATTTATCAAAATGTACTATTCAAGAAAGATGAGAGGGCAATATAGTTGTCGTTGATATGCCTAAGTCTGTTATGACATAATTTTATTCTTTTTCTGTCAGTCTGTGAATTCAAAATAATACACTATATGATRTWAARAAAAACCTAGATGTGAACATTAAAATTGAAAGCACTCTTTAAAATTTAAAATTCAAATTACTGCAAAAAATACAGTACTCTATGAAGTGCAGATGTCAACTGTAAATCCATTTCCATCCTTGAAAATATTCTATTATAAAGATGCACAAAGATTAATAGAGGAATGTTTGAAAAGCTTTGCATCCCAGGGATTAGGTTCCAGAAAGCTTTCACTTCAAAAAAGATTAGAAGAAATGTTATTTTTTAGGATAAAATATATTCATAATAAAATTCAAGGTTTTGAAGATAACGTCTTTTGGGTTTTTTCGTAACATGATTAAAAATAGGCAAAAGATAAACAGTAAGGAAATACACRAGATAGACAGCCAATCAGAAAGCAGTAATAAAATGAGTACTGTGTGAATGTGCAATAAAATATGCAAAATCAGTAAAACAGGGTGTAAACATAATCTATCTTATCATCAAAGATAAATGATTAAAATTTCTAGAAGGTAGTAGAAGGGGAAAAATTACATTTTTTATAGAAAACTTGAGCAAATATTTATTTTTTGTTGGCTKACATCTTCACATATGTCAAATATTTTTGCTTTGAAAAAATATTTTTTTTGTGCTGCCAAATATTCACCAAGATTCAATAAGATTTTATAAAGTACGATCTAAGAGGTAGAATACCATGAATTTTGAGATTACTACTTTTCATTTGTGGAATAATTTCCTTATTTTTTTATTTTTTACATTTTTAAACAAACCATAGTTATTTGCTCAGAACTTGTTTGTCTGGAAAATTCATTTAAATAAATCTTGCATTGCATGTCTGCATCTATGATCTGCATCTAACATGAATAATAAACTACTTTAACTAAATATAAACAATCTTATTCAGTTCAATATCATGTCAATATGAAAGCTTCTTTCAATTCCAGTTCCTGAGTTTCTCAAAAACACATAATTTTTAAATAAATTTCATATAAGAGCAGCATGTTCACGGTAAAGAATTATTGACAACATCCTYTGAACCATTGTACATTAGATTGAAGTTCATTAACTCTTACTTTAATACTTCTATTGTCTAGATAATAGTGCTGTGCAGTGTGTATTTCAAGGTCATTCAAAATGGCKTGTACAGTAGAGTGGACTTAAATGGAGGGAGGAGAATAAGGGTGAAGGTAGAAACCTGTCTTCTTATGTTTTAATATTACAATTTCAAAATCATGTGGGAGGGAAATAAATTGMGGGGGTTGAAATTCCTGAGCCTTAACCCTCTGTGATGCCTTCTACATCAGAYCTAAAATACCACAACAACCACTAACTTCTA